AGTTTAGACCCTGATGGTTGATGATATTGTTGAATGCTTCTGTATTCTCACTATTATTTCATCTAGTTGTTATAGCAAATGTTAAGATAAAAGTTTTAAAGTCTCCGACTATAATTGTGGACTTCTCTGAAACGGAAAAGTTGTATCAGTGGCTGCTTCACACATTTTGCAACTTCTTTGATGCGTACACTTTTAGGATTGCTATGCCATCTTGTTGAAGTGATCCTTTCAACATTACATAATGATTTTCTGTCTCTGATAATTTTTTTATGCTGGAGGCTATTTTATCTGACATTAATATAGCTACTTCTGTGATTATTAATTAATATTTGCATGATATAGCTTTAGCTATACTTTTACTTTCAACCTATCTATATCATTATATTTCAAGTGAATGTCTTGTAAACATGATGTAGTTAGTTCATGTTTTTAATACACTCTACCAATTCTGTCTTTTAATTTCTATATTTAGGTCATGTATATTTAATATAATTATTGATATGTTACAGTTTAAGTCAGTCTTTTTTTTTTTTTTTTTTGCTGTTATGTTGGTTCTCTCTGTTTTTCATTTCTCTGTCTTATTTTCTTGTGCATGACTTGAAAGTTTTTACAATTCCCTTTTTATCTGTAGTGCCTTTCAGTGTATCACTTTGTATAGCTTAGCTTTTTAACAGCTGCTTAATGTTGCATTATATATACATCACTTATGACAATCTATTGGTGTTACTTTATCAGTTTGAGTGAAGTACAGAAACTTCAATTCCCTTTATATCCCTTTAACCCTATCTTTTATAATTATATTAAATATTTCCACTACATACATTTAGAACCATATCAGAACCATATCATTTAGAACTTCCTTCAACCATGAAATATAATTTAGAAAACTGAAGAGGAGAAAGTCCATTATGTTTACCAGTATTTTTGCTTACTATCTCTTTTTTCCTTTCTAATGTTCTATGTTTCCTTCTCTTACCATTTCTTTTTTATTTAGAAAGCATCCTTTAAGCATTATTTCAGAGTAGGTTTGCTGGCAACAAATTCCTTATTTTTCCTCATTTGAGAATATGTTTATTTCCCCTTCATTTCTTAAGGATATTTTTGGTGGATATAACATTCTGGGTTGACAGTTCTTTTCTTTCAGTATCTAAATAATTTTCTGCCACTTCATTCCAACCTTCATGGCTTCTAAAGAAAAATCCACTGTCATTTAAATTATTTTTCCTGTATAAGTGGAAAATATTTTTCTTTGTTTTTATAATAGTGTTCAAAAGTTTGACTAAAATGTGACTCATGAAGAATTTCTTTGGATTGATCTTGCTTGTAGTTTGTTCAGATTTCTGAATCTGTATATTTATTTATTTACTTATTTGTGCAAAATTTAGGAAGTTTTCAGGCATTATTTCTCCCAGTTCTTTTTCAGCCTCACCCTTTTTCTTCTTTCCTTCCAGGACTCCAAAGACATGAAAGTTAAATCTTTTGTTATAGTCCCACAGGACTTGATACCCTGTTTATTTTTTATCAGTCTATTTTCTACCTGTTCAGATTATATTATTTATATTGTTCTATCTTCCAGTTTACTGATTTATTCTTCTGTATTCTTCATTATGCCACTGAAAACATTCACTAAATTTTAAATTTTGATTGCTGTATTTTGTGTTTCACTCTATATATATATATATACATATATATATATTTTCCAAGGGTTTTATTTGTACTTAGGAAAATAAAGAAATATGACAAAGTTCATTTACTCTATATTCCTAGAATAGAGCCAGCATACACTTTTTTTTTTTTTTTGTAGAGACAGAGTCTCACTTTGTTGCCCTTGGTAGAGTGCTGTGGCGTTACACAGCTCATAGCAACCTTCAACTCCTGGGCTTAAGTGATTCTCTTGCCTCATCCTCCAGAGTAGCTGGGACTACAGATGCCCACCACAACGCCCAGCTATTTTTTGTTGCAGTTCAGTTGGGGCAGGGTTTGAACCTGCCACCCTTGGTATATGTGGCCGGTGCCCTACTCACTGAGCCACAGGCGCCACCTAGCATACACTTTTAGAGTATCACTTTCCTCTTTGTCTTTGTTTCTAATCTAGCTAGTCAGCCCTTGTCACTGTCTTTTGGTTTTGTTTTTTTTAAAAACTACCTGCTTTCAAAATGAGTTTATCTTTTCTGTTTTTTCAGTTTTGTTCTTAAAACACATAATGGTTAAGCATGATGGCTCATGCCTATAATCCTAGCATTTTGGGAGGCTGAACAAGGAGGATGCTTGAGGCCAGGAATTTAAGACCAGACTGAGTAAGGGTAAGACCCCATCTCTATTTAAAAATAAAAGAAAGAAAGAAAGAAAGAAAATTTAGCCATGCATGGTGGCCTGCATCCGTAGTTCCAGCTACTCTCAAGGCTTAAGCAGGAGAATCACTTGAGCTAAGGAGTTTGAGGTTACAATGAGCTATGATGACACCATTCCATTCTAGTCCAGGCAACAAAACAAGACCCTGTCTCAACAAGAAAAGAAAAAACACACATAACATAAAGTTTATTATCTCAGCCATTTTCAAGTATGAAGTTCATCAGTGTTAAGTATATTCACATCATTGTACAACAAACCCCCAGAACTGTTTCATCTTATAAAACTAAAAGTCTATTCCCATTAAACAACAACTCCCCATTTCCCTCTCCCTTCAGCCCCTGGTGATCATCATTCTACTTTCTCTTTTTTACTGTAGATACTTCATATGCATGTATAAATGTCTTTTTGTGACTATCTTACTTCACTTAGCACAATGTCATCAAAATTCATTCATGTCATTCATCCTTTACAATGAATAATATTCCATTGTATATATATTCCACACTTACTTTATACATTCCTTTGTCAATGAACATTAGAGTTGCATCACCACTTAGTATTAGGAATAATGTTGCTATGAATGTGGATGGATCACTTTGAGATCCTGCTTGTAATTCTTTCAAATATATACACAGAAGTGGGGTTGCTGGAACATATTAAAATCTTATTTTTAATTTTTGAGGAATTACTATACTGCTTTTTGTTCATTTTTTATTTGGGTTATTTGGATATTTCCTCATTGTTGGGTTATAGAAGTTCTTTCCATAGTCTAGATATTACATGATTTGCAAACATTTTCTCCCATCCCATAGGTAGCCTTTTCACTCTGTGGATTGTGTCATTTGGTGCGCAGATGTTTTTAAGTTTGATATAGTCTCAGAAAAAATTAGCACACCTAAACCAATTCTGTCTCTCTCTCCCCACTTTTTTCTCTCTCCAATTTAAATCTAAACTTCTTAATAATCTCTGTAATGCAAATTGCTGAAAGAAACTTTATATAATTAACTTTTTTGGAAGGAATTAAACCTGAATTTCTGATTGTAGGGTTGTAGGGGAAGTGAATTTTTTTTATCAATTTTGTATATTTTTACCTATTTTGTATTGATATAGCTCTAAGGTATATTTCTTATTAACTTTCTACACATATAGTAGTTACATAACCAAAAAAAATAGCTTAATATTTGAACATGGCTCTAGCATCTTCATGTCTGAAAGAGAAAGTAAATTCTAATTCCGAGTTTCTGTCTGCTATTGAAAGGCAGTATTTCTGTATATTAGTTCATAAAAGCGGGACTATATACCTATTTCTCATCATTCCCCAGGCTGTCTCCTTTGTTAATTTTATTTCTCTCATAAAAATCAGTTTGGTTCATTGGAGTGATACATACCTTTGGATCATACTTAAAGCTGATTATTATAATATTATTTGGATTTTGTTTTTTTAATCATTGCTATAGATCTGTATCCTAGTTGGCTATTAATTTTTTAGATAATAGTCTGCCAATTTTCAGACCAAATAGGCCATTTTTTATTGCCCAGGAATTAGTTATTATCAATTATTATGTAAAAAATTACCTCAATATAATAGTAGCCTCCAAGCTCACTACTCAGCAAGCTATCCCAGATGTCATGAAACAGAATAGCAGTACATGCTTTATTAAATCAATTAAAGTACATAATTTAAGAAAGAAATGGGAAACACATTTTGAATATGGTACAAAAAGGGTAGAAAGATCTCCTTACTTGAGTTATCTAAGTTAACATAGCCTCTTTTTTCTCTCATGTGTCAGTATTCTCCAAGGATTCTATTTTTGAGAACCGGATCTGAGGTCTCTCCAAAGGGGCTCAGCATATGGGAGCGGTCCTGAGGATCAGTGACATACTCTTGCTCTAAGAGGTGTAGAGGGATAAGTATGCCTAGCCACAACTATGGGTCATTAATTGGCCTGATAAACTACTCTTTTATGTTTTTATTTTATGTTTAGGATTTTATTTTATGTTTCATGAATAAAGGTTACCAATGATCAGAATAGGTGTCACTGATGAGTAACCCAATTAAGATCTAAAAGAATCAAGTGCTCATGTGCATGTGTGTCTCATGAATATTTATAGTCTATTTGGTTCTTAACATCCCATCCTAATTATGCTTAACTTTGATATGCTGTACTTACTTTATCTACATTTATCATAACTTATCCCACAGCTACTTGCTTCTATACTAAGTTTCAAATATCCTCCTTTTTTATTTGTTAAAAAAGAATTGAATATTCTTAAATAATGCAGCTGACACACACTGTACTATTTGCAGTAAATAACAATTAATAAGGATAAACCATCTCTATATACACTGACCGGAGGAATCTCCAATACATACTTAGTGAATAAAGCAAATTGAAGAGAATTATGTATAGTATGATATCATTTATGGTGGAAAATAGGGCACTTACTTTTTTGAATCTTGTAGCATTTTTCTGGATGGATACAGAACAAACTGGTAATCATAATTTTCCCTGGGGAGATAATTAGTTGGCATGGCCTTTTGAACTTTTTAAATTTTTTAACACATGTATATATGCCTATTGAAAAACTGGTGGCTTTAAAAGTTTGCTTTTAAAAATCTTAAGTCATTTTTCTTTTTCTATATACAGGTGTCAGAATGGCAAAGCAACTGAACCTTCCAGAAAATACAGATGACTGGACAAAAGAGGATGTAAATCAGTGGTTAGAAAGTCATAAGGTTCATCAAAAACACAGGGAAATTTTAACTTCACAAGATGTGGATGGAAGGATCTTGAAGTGGTTAAAAAAAAAAGATCTTATTGATATGGGCATAACACATGGTCCAGCTATCCAAATAGAAGAACTATTCAAAGAATTGCTGAGAACTTCCTCTGAAGATTCCAGTCAGACAAATAAGAAGGGAAAAGGCAGTAAAATTGTTCCAACAAACCAAACTTTGATGCAAAAGGAAAGTAGAGAAAAACAAAAGGCTACAGAGAACACAGATATGGCTAATGCTTTTGCAATAAGCACAGTTGCTGAAGGTTCTAAGTCACAAAAAAATGAGCTTATGAAAGATGAAATAGATGACACAAATGAAAAGCAGCCATCCCCAGAAGTGACATGTGTATCATACCCCTTTGATGAATTCAGTAATCCATATCGTTACAAATTTCATTTTATTTTACAGCCTGAATCAGGGCCAGGAAATTTAATTGACCCAGTACATGAATTCAAAGCCTTCACAAATACAGAAACAGCCTCAGTAGAAGATATTAAGATGAAGTTTAGCAATGAGGTTTTCCGATTTGCTTCAGCTTGTATGAATTCACGTACCAATGGTACCATTCATTTTGGAGTCAAGGACAAACCCCAAGGAAAAATTGTTGGAGTGAAATTCACCAGTGTTACCAAGGAAGCCCTCATTGACCACTTCAATCTGATGATACACCAGTATTTTGAAGACCATCAGATCCAAAAAGCAAAGAAGTGCATTCGAGAGCCAAGATTTGTGGAAGTTTTACTGCCAAATAGCAATCTGTCTGACAGATTTGTTATTGAAGTGGATGTCATTCCACAATACTCCGAATGTGAATGTGATTATTTCCAGATTAAAATGCAAATTTACAACAAAACATGGGAACAAAGTCCAAAATTCTCAGTCTTTGTGCGAGATGGGACCAGCACTAAGAACATTATAAAAAATAAAACTGATTTTATAGAATTCAAAACAGATTTAAAAAAACTGGCAGAGGCCAGGAAAGCAGCTGAAGAAAAATTCAAAGGAAAAATAAATAAAAAAGACAGTGAGGGACAAAAGCTGGTTAAACTGTTAACAGGAAATCGGGATTTGTTAGACAATTCATACTATGAACGGTACATTCTTGTCACAAATAAATGCCATCCAGATCAAACAAAACATTTAGATTTCCTAAGGGAAATTAAATGGTTTGCTGTGTTGGAGTTTGATCCTGAATCTGAGAAAAATGGAGTGGTCAAAGCTTACAAAGAAAGCCGAATAGCAAACCTTCACTTTCCAAGTCAGTATGTAGAAGGGAAAACCACACCAGATGAGAAGATTTCTACTCTGAATCTCTACCAGCAACCCAGCTGGATATTCTGCAATGGCAGGTCAGACCTTGACAGTGAAAAATATAAGCCCTTAGATCCAAGTTCCTGGCAAAGAGAAAGAGCTTCTGATGTTAGGAAACTGATTTCATTTCTTACACATGAAGACATAATGCCACCAGGAAAGTTTTTGGTAGTATTTCTACTACTCTCCTCTGTAGATGATCCTAGAGACCCTCTCATTGAGACTTTCTGTGCTTTCTACCAAGAGCTCAAAGGAATGGAAAATATACTGTGTATTTGTGTGCACTCAAATATATGTCAGAGATGGCAAGATCTACTTGAAGCAAGATTAATTAAACAGCAAGCGGAAATTGCAAGCCAATGTATTTCTACTTTAAATCTTGAAGAGATAAATGGCACTATTCTTAAACTAAAATCTGTGACTCAGTCATTTGAGAGACTTTTGCCATCTTCTGGTTCCTCTAGTGTCCTTCTGAAAAAGGAAGAAGAGATCATGACTGCTCTGGAAATTGTCTGTGAAAATCAGTGTGAAGGGACACTTTTGGAGAAGGACGAAAGTAAATTCAATGAATTCAAGGCATTGAAAGAAGAAGATTTCTATCGAGGTGGCAAAGTATCCTGGTGGAACTTCTATTTTTCTTCCCAGAGTTATTCTTCACCTTTTGTCAAAAGGGATAAATACGAAAGACTTGAAACAATGATTCAAAACTGTGCAGATTCTTCTAAAGTAGTGTGTGCCAAAATTATTCATCTATATCATCATCCAGGCTGTGGGGGAACTACCTTGGCTATGCATGCTCTCTGGGAACTAAGGAAGAAATTCCGATGTGCTGTACTAAAAAACAAGACGGTGGATTTTTCTGAAATTGGAGAACAGGTAACTAATTTAATCACCTATGGGACAGAAAACCATCAGACTCAGACTTACTTACCTGTACTTCTCCTTGTTGATGATTTTGAAGAGCAAGATAATGTCTATCTTCTACAGGCCTCTATTCAGACAGCTGTAGCTAAAAAGTACATTCGATATGAGAAGCCTCTAGTGATTATCATAAACTGCATGAGATCACAAAATCCTGGAAAAAGTGCAAATATCCCAGACAGCATTGCTGTTATACAACAACTATCTCTCAAAGAACAGAGAGCCTTTGAGCTTAAATTTGATGAAATCAAAAAACAGCACAAAAACTTTGAAGATTTTTATTCCTTCATGATCATGAAAAATAATTTCAGTAAAGAGTACATTGAAAATGTGGTCAAGAATATCCTGAAAGGCCAGAATATTTTCACCAAGGAAGCAAAGCTTTTTTCTTTTCTGACTCTTCTTAATTCATATGTGCCTGATACCACCATTTCACTGTCCCAGTGTGAAAAGTTCTTAGGGATAGCAAACAAGAGGGCTTTCTGGGGAACAGAAAAATTTGAAGAGAAGATGGGCACCTACTCTACAATTCTGATAAGAACAGAGGTGATAGAATGTGGGAACTACTGTGGAATACGCATCACTCACCCTTTGATTGCACTTCTCTCACTGGAAGAATTGAAAAAAAGCTATGACTTGAATAAAAGTCAAATTATGCTGGATATGCTAACAGAAAATTTGTTTTATGATACTGGTATGGGAAAAAGCAAATTTTTCCAAGATATGCATACACTCCTACTCACAAGACAGCGCAATGAACATGAAGGTGGAACAGGAAATTGGTTTTCCCCATTTATTGAAGCTTTACATAAAGATGAAGGAAATACAGTGGTTGAAGCTGTATTGCGTGAAGGGAGTCGTCGATTCCACCCAAATGCATTCATTTGCCAAGCCTTGGCAAGACATTTCTACCTTAAAGAGAAGGACTTCAACAGTGCTCTACATTGGGCAGAACAAGCAAAAAACATAGAACCTGACAATTCTTATATCTCTGATACACTGGGTCAAGTCTACAAAAGCAAAATAAGATGGTGGGTAGATGATAATGACAAAAGCGGGAACATTTCGGTTTGTACTCTAATTAATCTCTTGGATTTAGCAGAACATGCCTCAAAGGCATTCAAAGACTCTCAACAGCAAAGTGAAGACAGACAATATGAAGTGAAGGAAAGGCTGTACCAGAAGTCAAAAAGAAGGTACGATACGTACAACATAGCTGGTTATCTAGGAGAGATAGAAGTTGGGTTTTACACAATCCAGATCCTCAAGCGCATTCCTTTTTTTGATGATAAAAATGAACTCTCTAGAAGAGATATGGTCAATTTTCTATCAGGAAGTAGGGATATTCCGGGGGATCCAAACGATGAATTTAAATTAGCCCTCAAGAACTATATTCCTTATCTAACTAATTTGCAATCTTCTTTGAAAAAGTCCTTTGATTTTTTTGATGAATATTTCGTCCTTCTAAAACCCAGGAACAACATTAAGCAAAATGAAGAAGCCAAAACTCGGAGAAGGGTGGCTGGATATTTTCAGAGGTATGTAGATACATTTTGTCCCTTACAGGAATCACAAAACATAGATTATAAATCAAAGTTTAGTGAGCCACTCCAAGCAGAGAGGTATCGAAGAAGCCTAGTAGCTTTAAAAGCAGACAAGTTTTCTGGGCTTTTGGAATATCTCATCAAAAATCAAGAATATGCTGTAAACACTATGGAAGAGATAGTGGACAAATATACTTTTCTCTTAGAACAATCCACGGTCAGAACCCATCCAAAGGAAAAGCAAAATTTCATCTTGGCCAACATCATTCTCTCCTGTCTTAAACCTACCTCCAAATTAATAAAGCCAATTAAAAAACTGAAAGATCAGCTTCGAGAAGTCTTGCAACAATTAGGAATGACTTATCAATTTTCAGAACCTTATTTCTTAGCATCTCTCTTATTTTGGCCAGAAAAACAACAATTAGATCAAGATTCTAAGCAAATGGAAAAGTATGTTCAATCATTGGCAAATTCTTTCAAGGGGCAATATAAACATATGCATCGTACAAAGCAACCAATTGCATATTTCTTTCTTGGAAAAGGCAACAATATGGACAGACTTGTTCACAAAGGGAAAATTGACCAATGCTTTACAAAGACACCTGATATTAATTCCTGGTGGCAGAGTGGAGATGTGTGGAAGGAGAAAAAAGTCCAAAATCTTTTGCTTCGTTTACAGGGACGAGCAGAAAATAATTGTTTATATATAGAATATGGAATCAATGAAAAAATCACAATACCCATCACACCCACTTTCTTGGGTCAACTTAGAAGTGGAAGAAGCATAGAAAAAGTGTCATTTTACCTGGGATTTTCCATCGGAGGCCCACTTGCTTATGACATTGAAGTCATATAAGAATCATATCTTCTTCCTCCAAAAATGTGGTCTCAATGCCACCTAAATTTCTTTGAACCAATACCTACAATTTAAATTGGCAAATTTATGGATACATCCCTTAATTTTTCTTACCTATACATACATCATTTAATTTTCTCTTTAAGCATGTTGTGAGTCCTGCAAAGACTATGGTGGAGGAAAGAGCAAGAGATGGGAAAGTAGAAATCTCTCCCTCGGTGTGGGTAACACCACTGACGTGACTGGGAGAGGTGAATGTAGTAAGACAGCCACACGGAACCTCACCACTTGATCTCTCTAACAAGGCATGGACTGAGAAAGATTGTCAACTTTCTACTCAAATTTGAATTGTTTTTTAAAATAGGGAAAAGTATTAGTTATGGTTCTGAGACATTAGAATGTCTGGGAAAACATTTCTCAGAAAAAGTCAAACCTCTCAAACCAACACTTATTCTTATCAAGCAGATCATAAATGATCAATTGCTTGGCAATCAGGGATCTTCCAAAGCAGAGGAATAACCAAGTCTCTAAAGGTCATGCCGATAGTCAACAGATATTACCAAAGTAGGCTGGAGAATTAGACTGCCTTTTCATGCAGTAGGAGGTAGTTGAGCAAAAGTGAAATTTGTCTCTATGGTTAATGACCTTATAAACCCACTCCCAAAACAAAAAACTAAAAAATATATTCAAACTCCAGAAAAAGCTAATAAACAAAAGGGATTTTTGTTTAAAGCTAATGAGTTCATTATCCATCAGATTATCTTTAACTCGTAAAGATAGTGAGTTCATTATCAACATACTGGTAGATAAATATATAGCCCAGGTGTTGAACAAATATAACACTGAGATACCTATAAAATTACAATGTAATTTGTGGTTTTAGTGCAGTGGACCACACCTATAACTCCAGCATTTTGGGAGGGTGAGGCAGGAGAATCTCTTGAACCCAGGAGTTCATGACCAGCCTGAGAAACACAGCAAGACTCTGTCTCTATTAAAAAAAAAAATTAAAAAATAGTCAGATATGATGGTGCAGGCCTGTAGTCCCAGCTACTCAGGAGGCTGATGTAGGGGACTGCTTGAGCCCAGGAGTTTGGGGCTGCAGTGAGCTATGATGGTGCTACTGCCCTCCAGCCGCAGTGAATCCCTCAGAGAAATACCTCATTTCCAAAAGAAAAAAAATGTAATTTTCCCTCAATAATATGGATATGAGCAATCATTAATGGCTATCAAAACCATCAAATGAAAAGATGATTTATAAAAAAAAGTTTCTAACAGATAAATCAAACTGTCCTAAATCCTGATCCATATTAACATCATAGAAAAGACAGCCAGCCATTATGGGCCTGGAAATACTGTAGGAGTACAACATCACCAATGAGGTATTTTTACCAAATAATTAAACCTGAATTTGATCAGGCCTTTAGATCTTAGTTCCAATTAAAAACACACACACACATTCACACACAGAAAAGAAATTGAAACACTAACATAAATATATAATCAACAATATCCAGAGAGTGGAGACTCACAGGACAAAAACCCTGCTTTCTTGCTTTCTTGCTTTCTTTCTTTCTTTTTTTTTTTTTTTTTTTTGCAGTTTTTGGCCAGGGCTGGATTTAAACCCATCACCTCTGGTATATGGGGCTGGGACCTTACTCCTTTGAGCCACAGGCACTGCCCAAAACCCTGATTTCTTTAACAAAGAAGGAAGGAAGGAAGGAAGAAGAAAAAAAGAAAAAAAAATCACAAAGGAACAAAAAGATTATAAAAGGCTTAGGAGGCTTAGCAACTAAATGCAAGATGTAGACTTTAGATTCTAATTTGAACAAACTAATTCTAAAATAATTAGGCAATCAGAAAAATTTCCCCAAAAAGTCTTGTAGGGATACATACTAAGTATTTGAAAATAAATGATTTGATAACAGGGAGGCAGAATCAAAACAAGATTGGACCAAGTTCACAATTGCTGCATTCTGGGAATATGAAGTACATATACTCCTCTCTCCTTCCAACTGTGTTTCTTTGAATTTTTGGTTATAAAGAATTTGGAAGACAAAAACAAAAAATGTGGGGTTTTTTTATTTTTTTATTTTTTTGTCTTCACAATCCCTTTAGGATTTTTTACTTTGTTCTAACAAAGATTCAACTCCTCAATTCATCAACTCATTAATATTAATACTCCCTTAGAAAACAGATAACATTTACCAATCCTGACAAAAATCACATCATTTTCGGTATTATCTTTAGTAGTATCATGATCCTCTATTTTTATATCAAAACATTTTCTTAATCTCTTGTGTTAGTTTTTCTTATTCTCATTAAATAACTTGGAAACTTAAAGAACATACATTTAACTAAAATGTTTATGTAATTGAAAAATTATGTAATTTATAAGTATAAGTAAGTTACTGAGATCATAACATAAGTAAGTGTCATTTGAGAGTAGTAAAATAAGTTTGCTAAAACTTCAGAAATAGATAGCTTTGTACTGTATAATGATCACAGAGAAATGTTGTCACTCTTAGTATTTTTATTATTGTGACTTATTTATAATATTTTCATTTTGGATGTTCATTGGTTTTCAACTCAGCAACACTTAACTTTTTCCTTTTAGTTTTTTAACTTTTTCTTCTTTTTAAGAAACAGAGTCTCACTGTCACCCAGGCTATGGTGCAATGTGCTGTCCTAGCTCATTGCAACCTCATACTTCTGGGCTCAAGTGATCCTCCAACTTAGGTCTCCCAAGTAGCTGGACAGCAGACACATGCCAACATTCCCAGCTATTTATTTACTTATTTATTTATTTAGTTAGTTAGTCAGTTGAGATGGGGTCTTGCTGTATTCATGCTGATAATGAACTTCTGGCCTCAAGTGAGCTTCATGCTTTGACCTCCCAAGGTGTTTGGGTTACTGACATGAGCCACCACACTCAGCCAACACTTAATTTTTTTAAGTGTTTTTAAGTTATTAGAGTTTGCAGATTTACTCAAAAGTAATAAACTATATTTCCATAAATTAGTTCAAATTTATTACTAATTAGTATTAGTTTTTTTCTGATTTTCTCTGTTTTTATTGTACTTTTCTCTCTATTCATATTAGAAAATTTTCATTTTTCCTTTGGTTTAGAAAGATTTTCTAAATTCCCTTTTTAAAATTTAAACATATCTGAAGACATATTTCTATTGAGATGTGGTCAACATATAATGAAAAATACATGAGTCTCAAGAGTTTGTGAGTTTTTATACCATGTAACCACTGCCCCAGAAAAGGTATAGAACATTTCCATTCCTCCAAAAAGTTTCTTTGTACTAATTGTTTGTACCATCACATTAATCTAAAATTTAAAAAAAGAAAAAAACATTCCTTTGTGCCCCCTCCCTTAATTCCCACTCCCTCTTCTCACCTGGAAACCAACTTTGACTCAGTAGACTCAATTTACCTAAATTTGGACTTCATACCAATGTAATTACACAGTATATATTGATTTTGTTCTTCCTTCTTTTATTTAATGTAAGGTTTTAGATATTCATATGTGTTATGAGGTATATCATAATTTTTTCTCTTTTATTGTTAAGTCATATTCCTTTATGTGAATTTAATATAATTTGTTTATCCGTTCTCCTGTTGATAGACCTTTTATGTTTTATTTCACTTAGGTAGATATCTAGATGTAGAATTCTTGATTTGGAGTAGATGTTTGAGTAACTTCATAAGCACCTACCAAATAGCTTCTTGCCAGCAGTATATGAGAATTGCAGTTATTTCATGTTCTCATCAACATTGGTGTTATCAGTCTTTTGTATTTTAGCCATTCTATCAGATGTGTAGTAATAATTCAGGGTGATTTTAATTTGCATTTTTCTAATGATTAATAAAAGTTTGAGCATAGATTCATCTGCACATTGTCTTTGGAAAAGAGTTTTTTCAAGTTTTTCCCCCTGATTTTTAGTTTGGGTTTTTACCAATTTATAAAAGTTTTGTGTGTCCATTTTCTGAAGTATTTGTTAGAGAGCTATGCAGCTAGTGTTTTTCTCCACTCTGTGGCTATATTAGTAAGATGTAATTAAAAACTTACATGTTTTTTGAGTTCTGTATTGAAAATTGAAGTCTTTGGCTTTATGATACTTGCCACAACTTATTGAGTGACTTTGGCCTTAGCAACTTGGATAATAAATGATACGGTACTTAAAATTTTGTGCGTGTGTGTGGTTTTTGTTTTTTTTGGGGTTTTTTTTTTTTTTTTTTTTTTTTTGAGACAGAGTCCTAAGCTGTCGTCCTAAGTAGAGTGCCATGGCCTCACAGTTCACGGCAACCTCAAACTCTTGGGCTCAAGCCATTCTCTTGCCTCAGCCTCCCAAGTAGCTGTGACTACAAGTGCCTGCCCCAACACCCAGCTATTTCATTTTTGTTGTCATTGTTGTTTTAGCTGACCCACACTGGGTTCAAACCCACCAGCCTCAGTGTATGTGGTCGGTGCTCTACCCACTGAACTATGGGAGCCACCCTCTGTGCTCTTTTAATGTTTACAAAGCAGTCCATAAAAGAATTGAAATGACTATACCATTAATTGATGTAATATATTTGAATGTCAATTAATTCATTAAAAAATCTTTCTTATGTGAGTTTTCTAAATCTAACCCATTTTTAAGAATGTTTTCAATATGCAGTAATTTCTTTACATTATTTAGTCTAAGTCAGAAAGTTTTACATTACTTCTCAGATGCTAACGTAAATGTAGCTTATCAATAGGAATCTCACTTCTACAAGGTAATATCACTTCTATTATTTCCTTCCTTCCTTTCCTTCTGATTTCCCTGCGGTTCTTTTCTCCCTTTTCTTTTTATCCAACAGTTCTGATAGCATCAATATGTCATTTGCTTTTCAGGAGTCTCTCAAGAACAAATGAGGAAAGTTTGGCTAAATTTAGAGACATTTCATTTAAACAATCTGAGCATAACAATAGTAGATAATTCAAATACATATATACATATTTTCCCACTCAAGTAAAGACCCACTTGATAGTATTTAAACAGTATTTTTTTTTAATTTATTTTTATTTTTATTTCTATTTTTTTTTGAGACAGAGCCTCAAGCTGTCCCCCTGGGTAGAGTGCCGTGGCATTACAGCTCACAGCAACCTCCAACTCCTGGGCTCAAGCGAGTCTCCTGCCTCTGCCTCCCAAGTAGCTGGGACCACAGGTGCCCGCCACAGCGCCCGGCTATTTTTTGGTTGCAGCCGTCATTGTTGTTTGGCGGGTCCGGGCTGGGGATTCGAACCCGCCACCTTAGGTGTACGTGGCTGGCACCTTAGCTGGTTGAGCTATAGGCACCAAGCCTTTAAACAGTATTTTCAACCAGTAATGACTCTGAAAATTTTATCTAATATATTACAGAATATATTTCAAATTCAAAAATATACTTACGAATTTCCTTTGAACAGAGAATATTTTTCTTTATTTCTTACTTTTTTCTCCACATTTTTACAATAAAACAGGCAAATACCCATATTCACAATGCATGACACATCAATGTGGCTACTTCACATACTCATCAATTTATTATTTTTTAATTGACACACAAAAATTTTATGTATTTATGGTATACAACCTAATGTTTTGATATATGCATATGTTGTGAAATGATTAAATCAAGCTACTTAATATATCCATAATCTCTCAAACTTACTTTTTTGTGTAAGGTAAAAATATTTACAATCTGCCCTCTTAGCCATTTTCAAGTATACAAGGCATTCTTATTAACTATAGTCACCATGTTGTATAATTGATCTGCAGAACTTATTCTAACTGAAGTCTAACTTAAGTCTAACTGAAACTTTGTACCCTCTGACCAACATCTTCCCATTTCCTACTACCTCCTCTGCCACTCCCACATCCCTGGAAACCATAAAAGTGAGATCATATACTATTTGT